AAAAAAAACAGGCCTCTAGAGAGCGCGATACTCATGCCCAATTAGCGACACCAATAATCCTGGTCTTAGATTGGACCCTAGTAGGATTGGAGTTCTGATGATGAGACGCTATTGTATTCTCACTTATGTTATACAATGTGTAAACTGAGGAAAAGTGACAGATAAAAAGATGAGCAAAGTATGATGGAGGAAAAAGACCCACAACATCTCGATTTTTTCCTTCTCGACGGCCATGCAGTTTGTTTTGGTTTCAATTTCCGTCAGGCGATTCTTTAACTGGCATGTTGTTGTGGACAGATTCTGGTTTTCCAGAAGGAAGTGCTCTCGCTCGCGCATGATGTTTTGGAAATGTTCTTGGATCTTCTCTTTCTCGATGTTCAGTGACTAAAACAATCGTCAATCGGTATAAGAAAACTGTGAATGATAGGGCAGCGAAATTGTGGACGTGGAGCGGCTGTTATGAAAGAAGAGTCAAGTGAAAAGTGAGCAATAGGTTGAGGAGTTGGTAAAGTATAGTGATCTCAAACCTCCATATTTGCCTGCAGGTATTCGTTCTTGGAATTCAGTGAGATCTTTTCTTGTTCCAGAGTCATCTTCATCTCGTTGGTGACTTTCAGCTCGCTTAATACATAAGAGATGAAACGGAAAAGTTTTTTGCGCTAAAGATCTCGTTTAGGGATGCGCTGTTGCCTTGGACCTCCATTCGGAATGTTATTGGCGTGTTATATGCGTATTTGGAAAAACAGTGAATTGGGATGGCTAGTCTATTCTAGTCAGTGTTTCTTTTTTCCTCTGGACAAGTCCGCTTCCAACTAGCGAACAACGAAAGGATAGAAGGCTCCGTTGATTGCGGATATCGATGTGGGATTCTATCCTAAGACCATGCGTGCGAGGTACTGCACCGCTTTTCGCTACCTCACCTCTGCCCGCCAAATATTTACCGAGTAATATTATTCATAACATCAGGACTTTTGTACTTTATCCTGTTCAACTAGATCTCGAGCTCAACAGCGCCTGACCAAACACTCCCTAATTAGGCAGTCGGTTATTTGAACACATAGATACAAGCTCAGTGAGCTTTTTTTTGCTACGAAATCTGATCTCGACTGGAGGATTAATGCACCTCTTTACGATTTAAGGAGTGGATGCGTCAGTGCCGAAGATTTGGTGTGTATTATTGTTATTAAGCGTCTATCAAAAATAGGCACTATGCTTCCCACCCTTGTAATAAATAGTTATAGAGATACTTGTAAGCACGGGAGAAGGAGAGCATGAAATTTGGATTTCGAGGACTATTGTCGTTTTGAGAAAGAAAATTCGAACGGATTAGAGTCTCTTAGCTTGAAGAGGTCCCGGTTGTCAGATGTTTTGATACTATCTTTGAAATCGTAGCCTTCGCTTGAATATTTCGCGTATACGATGACTTCCACGGATCTTCCTCGCCGACGCCCCTGACCTGCAGAATCTTTGGCCAGTTCTTATCGAGACCTGGTAGTGAGATCCCGTGTAACCGATAAGGAAGCAAATCACGATTAAAGGTCTGCAGTACTTGCCCAGGTATGCAAGTCGATCCAGGGGATGGACTTCCTGCATTTGTCCAGCTGGATTGGTTGTTAGATTCTGTGCTTAGGCCAAAATCCGAATCCATACATACGTGTATTGAGAGTTACGGATGCGGATACGGTATCCTGAGCACCGGCTCAAAAAAAAACCTTGCATTCTAGCGAATGGAGGGTGAATGGGGAGTGATTCGAGGCTGCCTTCGACAACTCAGCCCCTTCCACCCTGGAATAGCTTGAATAGCTATCCGAGGTCTACCCTGTCTCACGTCAGAGCCTAGCATGTTGGCAAATTACACGTGAGTTTCCATAATCCAAAAATGTAGCAGCATGAAGGACCCATTCTTTCACACTTAGTGCAGTCCCCAATACAGCAGCTTTGGACATTGCTGCTTGGTAGAGACTGTTTACAATCCCAAGGTCACAACAGACAGCTCAAAAGGAGGAGGACTAATAGGGTGTCTGCACACTCAGAGCGCTGGGGGTCGCATCGGAAAGTGTATTGAAGATCCAATGATCATGTACGTCGTCATTGTACGGGACAGGGAGGCATCATTTTTTTCAAGGGCGTGGAAGAAGTATCCACAGAACACGCGGCAGAGGCTTCGGCATCGTAGATGTCCTCGCCAATGCGCACTTGGCCATGAAGATCAATTCTTACGAGAGCTCGATAACCAGAATTGGACGTTAGCTATTGAAAGACGTGGCTCGAGTCCAGCTCTGACGATCTCTTCAGAGGGGATCACACTTCTCTAAAGTCATTGACGGTGATTTCAACACAAAGATTGTCTTTAAAGAAATGCATTGAGAACTACAAACCGATCGGTCCATCGTTCTCTCCGCGCAGACTCTGTTTGACAGAACGTGGAGAGAGAGGTGTGAAGTTCAGTAAACGAAGCCCCAGGATCTTCGCCAACTAACTTCCCTTGCGAGTGAACGGGAAGACTCCGTCATGGAAATTCGATGACGAAAACAACCGGCTCGTCGAACAACTTTACGGTAATGTTAGAAAAGCAAANCAAAGATTGTCTTTAAAGAAATGCATTGAGAACTACAAACCGATCGGTCCATCGTTCTCTCCGCGCAGACTCTGTTTGACAGAACGTGGAGAGAGAGGTGTGAAGTTCAGTAAACGAAGCCCCAGGACGTGTGAACGGGAAGACTCCGTCATGGAAATTCGATGACGAAAACAACCGACTCGTCGAACAACTTTACGGTAATGTTAGAAAAGCAAAGTCTGCAAACAGAGAAGAGGCGTTTTTCTTCGAAGATTCTCGGGTTGATAAGCCAGCGGCTGGAATCGCGCGAGCTTCAGACGATCGTCAAATCGCCCGAACCTGCGAAGCTACGCAGAGGAGTAATGAAGGAAAATCTGGAAGAAATGCAGCAGGTCTGGTCGGCGCCGCCGAGACCGGGAAGAGCATTCTCAAGGCCCACTGATGCTTCGTGAACCAGCTCGTCTGATGGAACAGTCACTGCATATCAAAGGGCGAATGAGAAGGCGATTATACGCCCACTCTTCCTGCTGTTCAAAATTAGACTTTTTACACGCGTCATCCTTAACAAGATTGGTGGATTATACGATGGATCGTCATGTGAGCAAGCAGGAAAAGGAATAAGCATAGCCGATCACATCGACTCTGTCAGAAGATTAGTTGAGATATAACGAGAATACAGGGTGCCCTTATCTCTGAGGTTCATCGGTTTAAAAAAGGCTTTTGATTCTGTCTAGACAGAAGGGGTAATTGGAGCTTCCGACAACCAGGGTGTTATTTGTCATTATATGAAGATGGTTCCGTGCTTCACAGCAAAGTCTCTGTAAACATATCGCCATTCTTTGAGGAAGTCATTGTCAACGTGAAGAGAAGGGCCCGGCAGGAGGACATCATGTGTTAAAACTTTTAGTGTCGCTATGTAGAGTATAATGTGTCATTCGGAAAAGGAAGACATGGGATTGAAGGTCGACGGCCGCTACTTACACCATCTCCACTTTGTTACGACATCGCTCATGACACTGAACACCGAGCAGCGGCACAAGTACAGGTTACCATAATTCAAGTGCATATGTCATAGTCTAAGACTGAAATGACTCCTGTCATGAAAAATTGATTGGTATTCGATGATAGTTTACGCCAAGCGGGATGGGTATCTCTGAATGCTCTTATAACGTGTACCTGTGCCGAAAATCCAACATGATGGACGACCTAGATCTGGGGTAGAGCGCAAGGAAACGCTTGGCGTGAGAAGCATGAAAGATCATCGCGGGAGTAAGGCAGAAAACCTAGAACATTTAGTCCCATGCTCTCTTTTCGATGCCGCGGTCCTTCCTGCTCTGTCTTACGCCTCAGAGACTTAGACTACACGAAACGGAGATGAACATGCACTATATGCGCTGTGGAAAGGACGGTGCTCGCCACTCTTCGATACATGCACAGAGAAATTACGAGTGCCATCGACGGGCAAATATCGGGCTTATGCCATTGAATCGACGACCAGGACGACGACACTTCAATTTTGTGCTTGCCGCTGGACCAGGGTGCTTATTGACTAAGCCACTTGTGACTTTAGGCGAACACTAAGACGGCCATCAGCGTGATGAACAGACTTTTTAAAGAAACTTCTAAATGAAGGGAATGCTTTGTCTCTTGTCCCTCGAGCGAAGACGAGCTAATCGATTACTTTGGCTCGCGACAGAAACTAATGGAGACGCCACTGGGGCCAGCTCAATGAAATCGATTATCAAGGGGGCGGCAGGTGATACAAATGATACGAAGACTCAGGGGAATCAGCTAATTAACAAGTCAGTGCTTTTTACCTCTGACGCTAGTCTGGTACCAACTGAGGTAAGTGATTTCAATGGGATGGAAGACACTGTAGATTTGGGTAGGTATCAGTGGCTCTAGGATAAATTGTCACACGCGTGGCCCAGCGACCGAATTCGGAATACGCTGGGTCATTTGTGTGAGCAGATTGCTTGTCAGTTGGCATTGAGAATATAGAGCTTCTGTCAGATGAATATGCGAATATTGGAAGGTTTGGAAGCACTTTCAGTAAGTGCGGAGCAACATATCTTAGCTATTATAGGACATCAGCTGATTGCATTTACAACGAAAGCGCTCCATTTCAGTAGGATCATGTTCCAAGTGTAGGACCTCCAAACATTCCCATTTTTGCGCTTGTTCTCCTGCTCTCGAGAAGCGTAAGCCACCGAAGGTAGGAAGTCTCCAACTCGCGACCTGTGCCTTCAAACAAGCTCGATATTAAACCATCAAACCTATAAAAGGTCTGCATTTTGTTGATAGCATAAAATTCGGAGCAGGTCCGTCTACAACTAAGCTAGCTCCACCCAACACTGATGCATTTTTCAATTTTTATACGTACAATTGAGGCGTACACCCCTGCCTATCTAACAGTGACATGCTTGTCATCAAGATGAATTTCTTACTTTTTGACGTTCTGGAAGTCGTCCTTGAGCTTCTTTGTCGTACGTATGAGCTTCTCACGTTCGTTTTCAAGCTCTGCCTTTACGCGTGCTAATTCCTGAAAGTGCTTGGTAGAAGGTTTGCTGACAAAGTTTTTTTTCCGAATGCCTCACGCAACGCAACAATTCGCCAGAGCTTATGACTGTTACACCGAAAATGAGATATGACCCGAAATTTGTAACAATCTACAACCTACAATAGTGGTAGTGGTCTCGTTTCACATACGGAAGATGCAGCTTTGCTCCCTGATACCGTCGGCTTTTTTGCATTGTATTCTTTCGTTTTATCAAAAGCTCTCTGAGCCTTTGCTGACATTTGTTTAAGTGAGCGCCTTATTTGCTCGTACTTTCTCTCGTATCCCCTGTCCAAGAAAAGTGGTTCTGCACGTCGATTTCGTGACTCTGCATTATTTTAAGTTCTGGGAATCTTCGACAGAAAGATGCTAGAGATGTGTTGGATGCCTGTAAGAACTCAACATTGACGGGAAAACTTTAAAAAATGTCCAATACACTATATTCCTGCCGCTGGTACGTCGATGATTCAGCCATTGGTCTTTTTTCTTTGCTTCTATAAGAATGTCATAAAGAGGATCAGAACTAGAGCTATGTTGTGTTATGTTACGTGACACCGGCCGAATATTTGCTCAGTCTTGGGACGATTGACAGTCTTGTCACCGGATGTAGAGAATCAGTTGTGATCCTTGGAGCTTGAAATCAAACAGAGCCATACAATTGACATGCAGAACCACTTTCCTTGGATAGGGACCACGAGAGAAGATAAAAGCAGGAATAAGGCGTTCACTCGATCAAATATCAGGAAAGGAGCACTTCGCAAAAATGCCGTCGATGTCGAGTAGCAGGACCACTTTCCTTGGATAGGGACCACGAGACCCGCGTTCTCCGCCTATGAAGCGAGACCACTACCACTGGGCTTGACATCAAAGCGACGAGTTCGCATATCTAATTGATACTACTGTGAAGCAAATTTTGAGCCCCCATAACTATTTGGTAAAACCATTTTGCAGTTTCAATTTCGTTTTCCATCAGCACCATTTGAAACCCTATCGATTTATATGGGTCTTCAAAGGTCCCATGGTAAGTAGTCTACTTCTCCTAGGTGAGTGAACGTTCCGACGGATTTTGCCGTTGAGATAACTATTAGGTTGTTCGGAAAAGAAAGCGCGTTTGAGCTTCAAAAATTTGTTGTTATAAAAACGGAACTAAACAAGATCAATTCAAAAGAGAATCTCCTTCACTATCAATTTGTTGCCAATGTTTACGCAAAGAATGGATTTCTCTCCTGAAGAACTCGATCGGCTGCGACTCAAAGTAGTTGAACACCCAGAGTTGGACTTCTTCGCAGTTTCTGAGCTTTCTCTCGGCCAAAGAGCGCTGCATCGACCGGAACAGATGGTAATTGGATGGTGAAAGGTCTGGGTTGTATAGTCGATGAAGCAGGGTTTCCCAGCTCCTATTCCTCAGTTTTTTCCAAAATAGTTTTCGCGATCCACACCTGCGACCCGACCCACGACGCGACGGTGCGATACCCATTTTCCACACCTGTTCGTATTGCCAATTGATAAAGCATGTTCATGCATGGTAGAGCTTAAGCTTTCAGAATGTGTTGGCAGTTCTCGAGTGCTTTGGCGTGGATCCAATTCAATGACGGACTTTAACACTTGGTCATCGACGACTTGAGGCCGACTTCCATGTTCTTCGTCCTCTAACCTTTCATTACCGTTTTTATAATGCTGGAACCATCGTCCACACTGGCTTTCTGACAGGGCTTCTTCGCCAAATACCTCAGATGAAAAGTTTTAGCGGCCGATTCGCCTTGCCTGAAGTCATACCACGTGCAGTCCGCAAAAAGGATTTTTGGTCAAGCATTTCCTAAGCTTTTTTTCTTTAAAGAAACCAAGTAGACATAAAGGCAAATATATCAGAAGATGTGCAATAAAACTCTCTTTCTAAAAGACGAAATTGTTGCGGAAAATCATATATACTATGAGAGAAATAAATGGACAAATTCAACGCGCAATCCTTTCCGAACAACCTATAGAACTCTCAGAAATACATCTGGTTGTTTTTCTGACTATCCTTAAAACTTCAATAAGAACCACTCACAGCAGCTCGTTCGTGCTCCTCTTGACGTGCTTTCGCCTCTTGCTCAAGTTTCTCCTCATAACTCTTCTTTTCTTCGCAAAGCATATGTCCTTTGCTTTCCAACTCTCGAATCATCGTCTCTCCCACCAAAGTATTTTTGAATGATCTAGAAATCGACAAAGTTTAGGGGTTTCTTGAGTTAAGTCTTGTAAGCACTGCTAATGTGCACATCTTTGTTGCATTTCTCAAAGCTTTCAGCCATTCCTCCTGCGTTTTGAAGTCGGGTGCCGCTACAATGATGGCGGACGGGAATTGTGGATGGGCGATGAGAAGGCAGTGCTTCTTACCCACGTCACCACCACAAACAATCGAACAGCCAATGAGGGGAATTATGCCCTGAATGGAAAGTTTACTCTACTTACAAGAAAATATCGCTTATGCGTGCCGAAAATCAATAGTATTTTCAGTGATCATTCATAATGGGTTGTCCAAAAAATCCTGCGACACTTGGAGTTTGAGAATCGCTAGCCATTCGAGAGCAAATTGCGCCCAATTTTGATCTACGGTAAGGTAGACCGCACCTAGCGGGTATTGCGAAATACTATAAAAAGGCTTCTTCTCCCACGCAAAAACAGTTATGGATCCTACAAATCCGAGTATCCTTCGACCCATCGTGGTTATGAATTCCTACAAGGACATTCTGTAAGAGAAGCAGCTAATAACACCTGCGCTGCATTCAAAAGATGTGGTACACCATGAAACTGTCAGTCGCTGGTATCACCGCTTCGAGTCCGGAGATATTTCTATCGAAGGACAGGAACGTCCTGGGCGGAATTGTGATGGGATGCTTTACTACGGAATCTTGGAAAGTGGCATTACTGTGATGCAATCCTTCATAAGTATCCAAAACGACTGGAAACCTATCTCCTGCGCGACAACGC